AAAAAGGATCAAAAAAGGAGAGAAGGTACAAGGTCTTCAATTCACAACTCGAAAATTATTCTAAAAAAATTGAGGTTTATTTTGTAACTAGCTCGATCAGAAGTTTGAAGCATACTGGCCCAAGCCGGCGAGAGGAGGACGCTGCTGTCCCCACTTGTCTCTTAGGTGGTGGTGACTCGCACCAACAAAGTATGCGTTGGCCGTGGCTTCTCCCAACACTACAGAAACAATCAAATACCAAAATTTTATGTCTAAAGTTAAGTTAAAATGGAGTTGAAATTCCTTTTACTTATGAAGAAACTGTGTTAAGTACTTGATATCAATTAAGTATTATTTTTAGAATAAAAATACACAATATATAAATTGTTTTAGCCACAAATAAGTATCGTTTTCGAAATATTAAGTTTTCTAATTTTAAAAATTCTCTAAAAATTAAATTATGGTTAAATGGCCACATAATTGTTATATTTATTTTAGCAATAAATTTAAATAAATTTTTATAAATAATACAAAATAGAAAAGAAATAACACAAATAATTTATTTTTTAATATGCTAATTATCTCAAATTTCTTGTAGAAATGACAGACGTAATCACACATGGAAGTATACAATAAACAAAAGAATTCCTTGCTCTTGTCGTAAATAACAGTGCAAATTATAAAAGTTTTGATCAAATGCTTTTTTAGTTAATATCATCACGTTAAAATCATTTCAATTGAAGATTTTCCGTCATTTAAATGATTTTAATTCTGTACGTACATAAAAACAATTTTTTGTAAAAATAAAAAAAATTATTGAAACTACTATACAAGATTTAAATAATTTAACATAAATAATTTTGTTCTACAATTTGAAAGTAGTTATACCTATACTCTCGCGCGGCGTTCAATTACAGCTAATAATGCTGAATTAAGAAGTCGACAAAACGTTTCTTAAAATATCGATAGTGTCAATTCTATTTGATATTATCGTTATAATCAAAATATTTATTAATCTGTGACGTCAGGGTCACTCTCAGGTACGCTTGGAGTAAGCGTAAACTCAGGGTTGCTCTGATTTGGCTATCGTGTAACATATAAGCCGGGACGAGCAATATTGTTGCGTGGAGAAAACTGTATGCTAGCGCGGTATGTAATAACCAAATGCTATTACGAACACACCAGACTCACGCTTAATGTGTTCTTAAGAGACTTTAACGAAAATTCACCAGACACACGCTTAATGAATTTCAAAAAAAAGAAAAGGATTGCTTAAAGAAAGAAAAGGATAGCCAGATATAAGGTTTTACTTACTTTTATTTTATTTAATTGTTTAATATTAAGGCTGCGCTCTCTCTACTCTTTGACCTCTTTCTCTCTATCTCTCTCTATATTCTGAATGTAGTTGGGAGGCTTCTTGATTGAATTTTTTTGCTGACTTCTTGGTAATATAGTCCAATATTTTCTTCTCTTATGTTTCCTCCAGCATTCACTCACTGGTAGTCACTTCTTGTTATGCACTTCCTGGTACTCAATCCACTTCATTCCTCCAGTCTTGTACAGAGCTTTTTATAAGCAGTGGGTGGTTAGGTGGAAATCCCTTTCCTCAGGCCCATGAAGCGATAACGGCCAAATTTTGTATTGGTGGGAAATTTTCTAATATATCTAGGATTTCTTTATTGGTCTGTGGAAGTGAATTTTCAGAGAGCGAAAGGGCGGTCCCTTTTTAACTTGGGCCCTTTTCTCCAGAGATGGCTCTCGGAGTGCCACTTTTAAGAGCAAGAGTAACGCTATAGTTTATAATTACTTATACAAAATCGTACTAAACTTAGTTAATTTTAACGATACACAGTGATTATTACAATAACTCAAATACTATATATATTTAGAAAAATCCAAACCTTCTATAATTTATTATAAAATATATTATTGTTCTAATATAAAAATATTTATTGGTTATTTGGTGACTAAAAGATGCGCATTATAATAACTTACAAAATTGATTAAAATCTATTTAATATTACGGATATTTTCTTAAAATTCGGTGGGAAAAAAAAGATAAATTGCTTTTTTATGATCCCCTTCCATTATCAGCGCGATAACGCTTCACGATGTATACGCGATGATCGTAGGCTCCTGTTAACACATGCGCGTGGGACAAAGCAGGATAGAGCATTGATTGTAAGGCCGAGTACGCAGGCTCGGGCCACTATAAAAGTTTAAACACTTTATTTCGAATGCGTTTTCATCGTGGGAAATCAGGAAGGTTCCCACTCCGTTCGTCATATTTAATAATTAAATTAATCTAAAAAACACTAAGTTACGGCTGGCCGTCGCAAATCTAAGAGTAAAAGTTCATTTACTTACCTGATTTTCAGATAGTTTTTCTATGTGTAACAGGTTTACAAGCTTATAAACAAATAAATTAGCGAAAAATCAGAAAAATTTTTTAGGTTTCATATCTTACATTTATTTAAGATAAATGTAAATAATCTTTTATAGTTATAAAATAGAAGGTACATTTTGTTTTCAAAAATAAATAATGCAAAATATCAATTGAAAGTTGATTTGTACATACTTTAGTTCGAGTGTTTCGGAGTTTCGAAAAACTTTTATTTTTAAAATTTTTAAAAATAAATTCACACTATCTCTGTTTCTAATAACGCAGACTTATAAAAAGAATTGAATTTGATATCCATCAATAAAATCATAGTACGAGGGTGGTCCGATAAGTACTTAGCCTCACCGCCCAATGGCGCCACTCGCAAAAGAAATATTCTATCACGTAGTACAACCTTCTCTATGGTTACTGTCAAGATTTCAGCCCGATCGGAGTTGTAGTTTATTTTTGAGAGCGTGTGAAGGCAAGTGTGTCTGTTGATTTTTGAAAAATGGAAAAAGAGCAGTATCGATCGGTGATTCAATTCTTGTTTTTGGAACGGAAATCGCGCAGCGAAATCAAAAAGCGCTTGGATGCTGTGTACGGTGACTCTTCTCCTTCGATGGCGACCGTCAAAAATTGGTTTAACGAGTTTCAACGTGGTCGCACGTCGATTTTTGAAGAGTCACGTCCAGGTGCTCCGAAAACGGCTACCACGGAGGATAACGTGAAAAAATTCACGATCTCGTATTGGCAGATCGACGATTGAAGGTGCGCGATATAGCTAAGATCGTAGGCATCTCAAAAGACCGCGTAGGTCATGTCCTGCATAAAATGTTGGGCATATGAAAGCTGTCGGCGCGATGGGTGCCGTGTTTTCTCACTCCGGACAACAAGCGCAACCGTGAGACAACTTCAGAGCAATGTCTGACGCTGTTTAAGCGCAATCCGAAGGAGTTTCTGTGTCGTTTACAGTCGTGACAGTCGACGAAACATGGATCCACTGGTATACACCAGAGACCAAGGAACAGTCGAAACAGTGGACTTTACCCGGCGAAAGTGCTCCGAAGAAGGCGAAGACTGCCCCAACCCATCGGCCGGAAAGGTGATGGCCACCGTTTTCTGGGATTCATAAGGTGTGATCTACATCGATTACCTGGAGAGGGGCAAAACGGTCATAGGGCTGTACTATGCCGAATTATTGGGCCGATTCGACGTCGAACTGCAGAAAAAGCGGCCCCATTTGGCGAAGAAAAAAGTGCTCTTCCACCATGACAACGCACCGGCTCACACCTCCGCCATCACCATGGCCAAATTGGTCGAATTAGGCTACGAACTGCTGCCCCATCCACCGTATTCTCCAGATTTAGCCCCGTGCGACTTCTTTTTGTTTCCAAACTTGAAAAAGTCACTCGCCGGGCAGAAATTTGAGTCGAATGAGGAGGTAATCGCTGCCACGGAAGCCTACTTTTCAAACCTCGAGGAAACATATTTTTCAGACGGGTTAAAGAAGTTGGAGCATCGCTGGGCCAAGTGTATCGAACTAAAAGGAGACTATGTTGAAAAATAAAACGCCACTTTTCCAAAATATTCGCTTTTCTTTTGTAGGCTAAGTACTTATCGGACCACCCTCGTATTTTAACTGTCTTTTTCCTCCGAATCCAAATACGGCGTTCGTTCAACCTTAACACGTCCGTTCAAGGGCTTTTGAAAGTGTATTCCAGGAAAACAATAATAATATAATGTATTCCAAATATCAATTTTGTATATTTTGGGGATCACTGAATCCAAATCCGACCTCCAGTTAGTCCATTAAGATTAATATTACGATCATTGCAAGAATAAATTTGTATTTTGAAATTTTTAATTCTTCATAAACTTAATAGAATTCTCAGTCTTGTTATCACACCTGAATTGTTCGTGCAGAGACACGTCTACTTGGTAACAGCAGAAAATACCTATTTCTTTCGTTTTTCAGTAAAGTCTGGAGGTAAAGGCATGATGCTGTCATATCTCTCTCTTTATTTTTCTTTGTGCGATATATGTAATATTGTTTGTTTTGCACAAATGCAGAACTTTTTAAAAATATTCATTTTAAAAGTATGACAACCTAGTTTAACAATGAAACTACATTGCAAAATTATTATTGACTATTTAGTTATAAAAAAAACTTTTTTGACGTGAATTTCCCGATAAGGTGAAAATGCATCAGCAAAATATTGAAATTATTTCAAACATTTATTGACTTCGTTTTAGAAGAGCTGATCCTTAATATCGTTTTTATTATTTTATAAAATTTCATAAGTGTTATATTGTCTTAAGAAAGTTTACCATAAAAACTGTTTAAGAAAGACAAACCGAACAAATGTATTACAGATTTTTTTTAAATGTACGAAGCTAGCTTATTTGATATATTTCGTTCAAATTTATTCAAATTTATTTTCAGTGTATAAACAACATAATACTGCAAATCTTTCAAAATTCAATCACCTCCCTACATTACGTCAACCTACGTACCTTTTATATAAAATATAGTAATAAATCTAGAATTGACCCTATTTTATGGAAGATTTTATTCATATAGAAGACTATTTAATATTAGATAACTACTTATAGATGTTACTGTTTATTGGTGTTTCAGGTGCAGACTCATTGATGGGTTCAGGGTCAGAGGACGAAGAGGATGAAACTAGTAATGCTGCTCATCAACATTCCGGAGCTGTCGGTGTTACACACCTCGGAGTGCACAGTATGGGTTCTGGTGGTCCAGGCGAACAAGTGGTTGGATCCCAAGGAGACTTACCTCTTGGAAATGATCCTTGCAAGCAAGAAGACTCCGAAGACCAAGGTAGTTGATAATCTGCTAAGGTTGACCATTATACTTATCAAATTACTTTGAATTATAAATTTCTTTTATATAAATGATATTTAAGTGATTCTATATCCAGTGCTTAACTTTGGGTAGCCGAACGATTAAAAATATACTCTTTGTTTTTTACTCGTTCGTTATATTCGTAAAAAAATTATGGATAGATCCAAGTGAAAAATTATGGAAGTACTGATAACATCTAGTTTCTTGTAGCATTTGCTCGAATTCGATATCTACTTCTGTTTATCTACAAAAAATTGTAACCTGAAAATTTACAAAATTCAGAAATTTGATCCACAAAAGTATGTTACGAATCGTCGAAAATCAACAATTTGTTCATGCTATATTATTAACAAGGGTGTATCACTTTATAGGTCTTAATATTTATTAGAAAACATTTAGAAGCTATTTAATAAATTGGCGTGGCGACGTGGAGACGATTTCCGACACTTTTTAGCAATATTTTCGTAAAATGTTTGATATTGTTCTTAAGAGATAGGACCTATGTAGAATCTTGATAAAATCGATTTTTTTGACTTAATTGATAAATAATTAATTTGATAATGACGTTCTAATGTATTTTTATAAAAAAAAAATGTTTCGGTCGAGTTATGAACGTCAGACACATGTCATTCCACCGGGTGGCTGGGTCCACATAACGCTCTTTTTACTCCGAAATACTTACCTGTACTAGATGTTCCTTCCTGACAAAGAATACTTAATGGTAAATAGTATACCGAGATAGATAAAGATAGCTTTATAAATAGTTTTAACTGTATTTGTTTTTTTTGAAGTTATACAGTTGGCGCTAATAAATTTTATATGCAGTATAGATTTGAATAAAATAAGAGCTTTTTCTTAGAAAAGCATAAAATTAACTTTTTGCGAAAAATCAATTGGAAAAAACGTCTTTTAAATAGCTAAGAGGCAGAAACAGATTTATCAAGTGTTAGTGCATTTGCGAAAAATTTGAAAAATACCGCTGCGTATGAAGTAACTATTGATCTGACGTTTACACGTTGTTTCATTGCTTTTGTATCTGTGTTTTCATAACATGCTAGAGCATGTTGCATATGAAGTTTACCATTCAAAAGTGCAGTCAAAGCGTGGTTTAGACTTCATAATTGATGTTATTTGTAAATTTTGTGTCGTCCAGCGTGCTCCACACGCTTATCTTTTGTTTGTATTGAGTAATACAGTTTTATGCTTGAAACAAATCATAATTATTATAAACGAAATAAAAAAATTCTAAAATATCCTACAAACATAAAACATTTGTATGCATACCATACGTTGATATTACTTGGTAATTAAGAATCCAATTACGTTAATATCCGCCGATTTAGTAATTATTTTACATCTAGTAAATATAACAGATTTTTGGATGTTTAGCTATATAGGTAATATACAACGCATTAAGTTAGTTTTTCTTTGTCAAATAAATAGAACCATTGGCTGCTCTGATAATTTATATATTTTTATTTTGTAACACACACATATTAGTCTACTATTTCAAGCTTTTCGTAGAATATCTCCATATCAACCGATATGTTATTTAAACTCTTTTTCAACTACTTTTTTAGTTAATTTGTGATATTTAAAATTTTTCTGCATTTCTAAATTAAATTTCAAAAATTTTTCTAAATAAATGAACGGTAGAGGATTAAAAGATCAATTCACAATATTTCACATGAAATATCGATTTGTAATTCTCTTCATTGTTCATGATATTTAATCAAAGCTAAATTTTACAATAATGATATTCAATAAATTTATATGCCCTATAAATAAATGTAATAGTAGTGCATTAAGATTACTTTATCGTAATATTTTAAGGTTAAAACGTTGAGAGAATCTGAGCTTTCTGTATATTCAATGCCTACACATTGTCTTACTTATTTTAATTTATTTATTTCATTGAATATAAATTAATGTAAAACACCTCGGTGTATCACCTATATTTAGTGCCGATTTACATGTAGTAGTGACTTACGTGAATAAATTCACCCAGTCAGATCGCGAATAAACGAGCTTCACTTTCAGACCCATCTACTTTAAAAAGTATAACCTCCCGTTCTTTAAATATTAACTATTTAAAATTATATGAGATCGATGACAATAAATATCAGGGCGGACTAAAACTTGTGACCAGCAACCTACGGCAATAAAGGCAGAACGTATACATGACACTAGACATATCAGCATACTGTTACAGTAAACCACGTGATCACTTCTCAGCCAATTAGATTGCAAATAAAATGACTTCGTTTTCAAATCCATCTCCTTTTATTATAAAAAAATATTAAATTATTATAATTATAATTATATATATATATGGGTCAAAATTATAGTTCATCGAAAAACCGTGCGCACGGGGTCCTCCGATTTTATTGAAAATTAGTACACGTATTCTACATAAGAAAAAAAGAAACTGCCCAAAATTTCAGCCCCCTAGATAAAAAATTAGGCCCACAGGACTGTTTCAAAGATCAAAAAATCGCCTTTTTTAAGCGTTTTTCGACCTATTTTCAGTTGCTTCTCAAATCTCGAGTTTTAAAGCTACTTGAACAAGCAGGGGCTCATTTTCTTTGTCTTCTCAAGAGCTTTATAGCGCCGTAATATAAAATATAGGTTCGTGTAATAATAAGAATCCTAGAGACCCAAAAGTGCAGAGTGATTTTTACGATTTTTGCCTATGTTCAAGGGCCGTAAGACAGTGAATTTTCAATATTTACAATTTTTGAAGTACGGCATTGGATAGCTCTTGAAAAGACAAAGAAAATGAGACCCAGCCCATTTCTGTAGATTCAAAAGTGACGGAGATATGCTACTTTAAAAATAGCTATTTTCGTGAAAATCGCGTTTTTTGCTGATTTTGACCTAGCTGGAAAAAAATCTGCCTGTTTCGATTTGTCTCAAAATTTCAGAGGATGTTCTTCAAGTGTTCCTCAACAGAGTGCAATAATTTTTTTTCTGTATATCGGCTGATTTGTGTGCTTTTTCAGCTATGAAATATGCGAGTTTTCAGATTTTTCGTACGAGAACGATCAATATCTATTCATCGGTTTCTCTATCTTCTAAGTTTCATAAACGTAATTTTCAGCAAACAGTCATAATTGTATACTCCAAAGATTAATTGAAAATCATAAACTATATTTACATACTTACTGTGCATAATTATTTGGGTTAGTTGCGTAGGTTTCGACAGGAACTTTACGAAGTATTACTCAAAGCTACACATTCAAGTGTTGATGTATTTCAATATAATTCAAGGGATATAATTAATCTTTCTACAACAATTGAAATAAAAAGAAATCGAATTCTTATCAGTACAGCAATAGAAATATGACTAGTCGAATATATTCACAATAAATGATTCTTGGTCGGAAGAATAAAATTTCACTTTCATAGTTTTTTGATCAATTGGTTCAAAAAAGTGATATTGTCTGGTATCCTTAACAGTTTTTGCTGATGAAAACCTCTTAGCGAGTGATTTTCCTCTTGCCTCAACTGCACTATCATCAACATACAATATTCTGTAAAGAAAGTGTACATATATAATTTGTTTGACTAAATTTTCGGCAAACTTCTATCATATTAACTTACTTTATCTTCGATTCTTTAGTGGACAAATAATCGTGCATTTGCTTTGCATTCAAAATTTGAACTCCTTGCTTCGATGCTTTTCTTGCAATGCGCTTTACCACAGCCCCTATACCATCACATGCACTTTTACCATGAGATGTAGCGAAAAAATTGTAGGAAACTATTTTCAGTCCAAAGTCTTTTTCATGATAGCACAAATTCCCAAAATGATTTCTGAAAATGATATAGAATATCAATTCTATTAAGTCTTTTCTTTGAAAGAATACATTTTTTTGATAGGAGTATAGCAACACACAAATAAAAAAAATTTTTACTATTAATTTACAACAAAATACATATATTTAAATATATTTATTTTATAAGTATTTTGTTGTAAATTAATAGTAAAAATTTTTTTTATTTGTGTGTTGCTATACTCCTATCAAAAAAATGTATTCTTTCAAAGAAAAGACTTAATAGAATTGATATTCTATATCATTTTCAGAAATCATTTTGGGAATTTGTGCTATCATGAAAAAGACTTTGGACTGAAAATAGTTTCCTACAATTTTTTCGCTACATCTCATGGTAAAAGTGCATGTGATGGTATAGGGGCTGTGGTAAAGCGCATTGCAAGAAAAGCATCGAAGCAAGGAGTTCAAATTTTGAATGCAAAGCAAATGCACGATTATTTGTCCACTAAAGAATCAAAGATAAAGTAAGTTAATATGATAGAAGTTTGCCGAAAATTTAGTCAAACAAATTATATATGTACACTTTCTTTACAGAATATTGTATGTTGATGATAGTGCAGTTGAGGCAAGAGGAAAATCACTCGCTAAGAGGTTTTCATCAGCAAAAACTGTTAAGGATACCAGACAATATCACTTTTTTGAACCAATTGATCAAAAAACTATGAAAGTGAAATTTTATTCTTCCGACCAAGAATCATTTATTGTGAATATATTCGACTAGTCATATTTCTATTGCTGTACTGATAAGAATTCGATTTCTTTTTATTTCAATTGTTGTAGAAAGATTAATTATATCCCTTGAATTATATTGAAATACATCAACACTTGAATGTGTAGCTTTGAGTAATACTTCGTAAAGTTCCTGTCGAAACCTACGCAACTAACCCAAATAATTATGCACAGTAAGTATGTAAATATAGTTTATGATTTTCAATTAATCTTTGGAGTATACAATTATGACTGTTTGCTGAAAATTACGTTTATGAAACTTAGAAGATAGAGAAACCGATGAATAGATATTGATCATTCTCGTACGAAAAATCTGAAAACTCGCATATTTCATAGCTGAAAAAGCACACAAATCAGCCGATATACAGAAAAAAAATTATTGCACTCTGTTGAGGAACACTTGAAGAACAT